TTAAGACAGTACTGCTTTGCATTAATTCACGTTATGATTTAAACACCTTTGCCCACTGTACTTTTTGTCTTCTGGGAGAGATTTCAAACTCAGTTAACTCATTCCTATTTTCTCTGAACAAAGATGATCAACTACTACATTCAAAGCCAAAACACTTGGACAAATGAACAGAAATCATTAAGAAGGAACAGTAATAGTTTTCTTAATGTTGGATCTGTTATACTCCAGGCCTCAAAATGCTCAGTGATGACTTTTGAAGGCTCTGGGTGAAGAGATACTTTTAGAAGTATATACGGTGGACAAGCATTTGGTTTTGTCAAAGTGCCCTTCAGCAGGTTTTTATGTGCTGTGTAAAAAACCCCAGTTAATAATCAGAATCCATCCTTCAGTATTTGAGGAGTCGGGGATCTTTAAGGTACATTTTAGTGTCTGACTGGATGTCCAATGTTCCATGCACAGTTTCATGTTTTCAATAAGGAAGCCACTTTAATTAACATCAGAAGTAATGCTGACACCTCCCCCCCAACGAGGTCACCTGTTTTCAGTGTTTAAGGTGGGGCTTTAAAATGAAAAGCAGAACCTGAGCAAGACTGGGGAGGTGAAGTGGGAAACCAGACAAGTTTTAAAGGCTTTAGAAAGGAAAAACCAGAAACTAAAAGGCTAAAAATGGCAGCAGAAGCAAAAGGTTTTCAATAAAAGACAAAGCAGAAACCCACAGTCCTTTTGTACCTATTAGGATTTACACGGATCCTCTCATCAAGGTACTCCTGATAATGCAGTTGTGTCAAGCCTGTCCCCCGGCTTGCGCTTTAACCCTTTCAAATGGGTCCCTCAGAAGCTCGGCTTGCAAATTCCGGCATTTGCCGATCTGCAGTGCAACCGAAAAGTGGTCCGGATTGCAACTGAGGCTATTAGCTCGTTCTGAGTCCACTCCAGCAGAGGTTCCCATTCAAATTTCTAATGTCCACATCATGCAACAGACCCACTGGGTCTTAGTGGAGCTTAAGCGAAATAAGCCAATTTCCCCACTAAGTTTTCTCCTTTCAAATGGGTCCCTTAGAAGCTCATCTAGTGGCTTCCGATTTTTGCCGAGTCCGCAAGTCTTTGTTCTCACAGTTCCAATACTAAAAGTTTCGACTAAAATTATGATTCAATTCCTATTGTCCACGCTGCACCTCAGACCCTCCAGGTTTTAGTGGGCTCAAGAGAATTCAGCCGATTTCCCCACTAATCTTTTTCCTTTCAGGTGAGTCTCAATGTAGATCAGCTCAGCTCGTGGATTCCAGCTTTTGCTGGGTTCATGGTGGGACCACTGCGGGACCGCTGCAGGGCAGGCAGGCAGGGCTCCGGTTTTTAAAGCTTCTAAAATAATGTATTAGCAAAAGTTCTGATTCAAAATCCTACTGTTCGCGTCATGCTGTGATGGTCAGTCTCTGTGGAGCATAAAGTACTCTCTGGTATCCTCTCTACGCAGGCTGCTATCCCTCTGGCTCTTCACACTGTGCTCTCCACCTCCGCCATCTGCCTAGACCTGGATCTGACAGCTTGTATCTTAAGCTTTCTTGGCTTCTGTGATTCCAAACACGTCAACTGCTGACATTTTTTTTTCTTTTGACCAGTGTCTCTTAAGTTTAGTTGTACTGTCTCCAAGGGAAGGTAACATGTCCTGTAGAACTCCTGTGTAGTTTATGTTTTCCTTTCCTGAGGGCCTGCCTGTTTTTCTGTGTACCTGAAAGATGCCTCTTTGCTATTATCCAAGGCGACTTTCTCTGGTGTGCTGCTTCCCGGCTTCCCTTCCGCCCAGGAGCATGTTCTCCCGCCGGTTTTTCTGTGTACCTGAAAGATGCCTCTTCGCTATTATGAAAAAGTCTATTGACTAGATATGTAATGGATTGCTACATTGACTGGAATTGTGGCAAATGGTTCTCGAAAACTTTCTCCTTTAACGACATATGATTCATTTTTATCTTGCTACTTTCATTCTACACACATTCTCTTTCAGAGCCTGATGTACTTGCTTGTTCCGTAGTGTGTAAATGACAGGGTTCAGCAGTGGGGTAAACACAGTGTTCACAAGGGCAGCCCCTCTGTTGGAATCCAGTCTCCTGGATTGCTTTGGTTTCACATATATAAAGACACAACTGCCATACATCAGAAAGAGGACAATGAGGTGAGATGAGCAGGTGGAAAATGCCTTCTGTCTTTCCTTAGCTGATGGAAGATTGATTATTGTGACTACTATGTGGTTGTATGCAGTGATGGTTATAATAAGTGATATAATAAGAATAAATGAAACCAGAATGAAAGTTAATAGTTCAATTGATTTGGTGTTAGAACAGGAAAGATGAATCAGAGGGCCAAGGTCACAGAAGAAGTGAGAGATGATATTGGGGCCACATAAGGATAATTGGGAAATTTTTATCACCAGGCCAGTAGTGAGAATGAAAGCTAAAGCAAAGCAAGCAGTGACCAGAAGCAGACAAGTCCTCAAGTTCATAATGGTGCTGTAATGCAGTGGTCTGCAAATAGCCAAGTACCGATCCAGAGACATCACAGCTATTAAGAAAAAACCTGTTACTCCCACAAATACAAATACAAAAGCTTGTGTAAAACAGGCAGCAAAGGAAATTTTTTGTTTGCCTAAAAGAAAGATGACCATCAATTTAGGAATAACAGAACTTGTGAAACAACACTCTAAGCAGGAGAATATGCTGAGAAAAAAGTACATCGATGTGTGGAGGCGAGCATCAATGCAAGTGATAGTGACTATGACCACATTTCCTGTGATGGATGCCAGGTATGCCAGCAAGTGCATCAGGAAGAGGACTTTTCCCAAGTGCTGACCACCAGGAAAGCCCTCCAGGATAAATTCCTGGACAGAGGTCTCATTTTCCATTTTCACAGGCTTCTCTTTAAACAGCAGCATCACCTACATGTTCAAACCTACACTAGAAGGCCTCTGAGAAGTGGGTCATCATTGAAGTTTTTAATTTTTCTGAACTTAATTTCACCTATTTATTTGTATTGTGATTCTCATGTTGTAATAATATGATTAGTGTATAATGAAATACAGTGTATAATGTATTATCTAGATGAGATAATTGACATTTGTGTAAGAATTTTTGTACTGGGCAATATTTTTTAAAATAAAACATACTAGTAAATAAGTAATATATACCTTAAAAAGATTGTTCTAAAAATACACAAGTTATTTGGTCTAAATTATCATCAAAATTACCATTACCATCATGATTATATTTTTTATCATGATCATCAATGTCATCATCCTCATTTTCTGAGAACTTTAGTAATGCTTCACATTATGCTGGTCACATACTTTGTTTTATTAAGCTCTTTAGGAAGCTCTGGTGGTTTAGTGGTAAGGAGTTGTTCTGCCAATTCAAAAAGCAAATAGTTCGAATCCACCAGAGGATCCACAAGAGAAAGATGGGCAATCTCCTCCTGTACAATTCATTGTTATTGTTGTTAAGTGTCATCAAGTTGAGTATGACTCAGAGTGACACTATGAACAACAGATCTGAACTCTGTTCTATCCTTTGCCATCCTCATCATCTCCGACACACTTTGATGGGCCCATTGCTGCAGCCACTGTGTCAAATCTATTTAGTTGAGGGTCTTCGTCTCATTTGCTGACCTTCCACCTTTCCAAGCATAATGCCCCTTTCAAAGGTTTAGCCTCTTCTAATAACTCGGAGAAACTTTTTTGCATGATTTACTACCTTTGAAAATCCACTGGAAAGCCAGCTACGAGTAGATTTTGTCTCAACAGTACACAGCAATAACATTAAGCTCCTCAATAGTCATGAATGTCCTATTATGCCAGATTCTTTCTGCAAGGAAGTGGAGCCTCACTTCAGAGAGGTCGATACAGGTCACATGAGTAGAAGATAATGAAGTGGCTCTCCGGTGTGTCTTGCTGAATCCAAAGCCCCTGCTGTTTTTTAAATGCAGCAAAAATGTATTTTAAAATAGGTGAAAAGTCTATTCTTGGTTCTAGCTTAATCTTAAGTGACATTTTAAAGTTAAAACTTTATCTTAATTTCTTATAACCTCAAGTTTATATATTATTGACTTTCAGAATAATATGGACCTTAGAAATTATCATTTTAGCAAAATAATCTTGAAAAAACAAAATCTGGAGACTAGAGATATCGAACTTACTCAATAACGTGGTATACATATTTAGTCTAGGGATTAACCTCATTTCCCCAAGGCTCTACTAGTGATCCTACTTCACAGTAGTTGCTGGAATTACTCCACTTAGAAAAGATATACCTGGAACTTAGAACCCTGTAGCTCATTATTATATAAAATTCAAGTGAGCCTTTCCCTTTTCTCTAACAAACTCATATTATGGGATTTGTCTCTAGCGTCTTGACACCAAGATGAGTATCTGAACTGCAGGCTGCCTCTCACCTCTTATGGACACAGGTCTCCAAATACACTGCTCCTGAGGCATAATTCCTTTTCCCTAAGCTGCTTGGTCTGCAAAGCTGCCTGAGGAGCCTTTGCTTCTGTACCAGTTCACAGCAACAGGAGAAGCAAGTCTTCATGGCTCACTGAGAACAGGTAATGATTCAAATCACCTTTGGGGCAGGCTTCCTCATAGTCCATCTCTTCTCCATCAATAAATCAAGAACTGAGTGGAAAGGAGAAGAAAGGAAATTAATTTGCCCTAACTTGTTGACCCAGAATTGAGTATGTCTTCATTCCACCTTTAAAATTTCCCAGACTAACAAAGCTTTTCTCTGTTCTTTACATTCCCAAAAGTTTCCCATTTCAGTGGAGTGTTTGCTACGTGGCAGCTTGTCAACTGAAGCACAAACTCAAAACCACTGCTTTTACATCCAACTTACAACCATTCCCATTTGGTTTTAAAGGTGTCTCTCTGGAGACTAAGGTGCGCCTGATACAGGCCATGGTCTTTGCAATCGCTTGTTATGCATCAGAGAGTTGGACAATGACTAGGGAGGACAGAAGGAGAATTGATGCCTTTGAGCTGTGGTGCTGGAGAAGAGTACTGAATGTACCATGGACTGCCAGGAAAACAAACAGATTCATCTTGGAGAGGATTAAACCAAGCTACTCCTTGGAGGCAAGGATTCTGGGGCTTTGTCTGACATACTTTGGACATGCTGCCAGGAGGGATGGGTCCTTGGAGAGGGACATCATGCTTGGGAGGGTGGAGGAAAAGTGCAGGAGGGGAAGACCCACTATGAGATGGATTGATTCGGTGACTGGGGTAATCGGGATGGGTGTGTCAGAGGCAGTGCGGTTGGCGCAGGATAGAGCAGGGTTTAGGGCTGTTGTGCATAGGGTCGCTATGAGTCGCAAACGACTCGATGGTACATCATAACAACAACAAATCTTTATGGGAGGAGACTACTCATCTTTATCCTGCTGAGAAGCTTACGGATTCTGCCTTTCAGTTAGAAGTCCAATATGTTACACATCATGCCAACAAAGAAAAAGAAAGTGTATAAAATAACACACACCCTATTAAATTCTTACCTAGAACTTGACTGAAACTTCTTAGGGTGCTGTTGAAAAAGATGTTTTTCCTTGTCTGTGGATAAAAGTCCCCCTTATATGAAGCTCTCTTATCCACCTTCTGTACCAACTAAAACAACTAAGGCCTTCTCAGTGTTCATCCTGATAGCTATAGAGACAGGCCTCTGCCAAAGTTTTTCTCAGTACATCTACTACAAGACACCTTTTATTGCACAGTGGTACTCCATTATAGTTATATCTTTCCATTGATGGGACATCCTTCTTCCACAGCATCAACAGTATTTCCCTGCTTGATGACCTAATGTTTATGCAATTGCTTCTCCACAAGACTTTATTTGGTCACAAGGCAGAATGTTCTGGGTCAATAAGAAAGAGCACAGGCTCCCTAACCTCATTAAAAGTTAAGAAAATTTAGACAGAGAGAAAATAATTAGGGCTAGTCTCCTGCAGGTAGCTAATTGGTCACTTTTGAAAACAAGAGTTGTTGACACAATGCTTATATTTAACATTCTGTTGTCTATGGTAAGTTGGCTCCTGGATGTTCAGATTTTTCTCTGCCAAGATTTTTAAAAGACATTCTATGAATTAATTTCCTGGAAGTTGTGAAAAATCTAATTTTAATTTTGTTACTGATTTGAGGAAAAGTCCAACCTCTAATTTTACACATGAGATGTTCGCACGAAGACGAGACAGGTTAAAAACACCAATTTTGTTGTGAGATGACATGTTAGATATATAGAAAGAAACTGCCTTTTGTGAAAAGATATAGGGACCCACTTTCCTAGCCACAACATCCCCCCCCATTCATTCATTGGTGCAATTTTCTCCCCTCCCAACCCTCCCCTCTAGTACACTACACTCTTGGAAAAGTAAAAGAAAAATTCTTTCATTGTTTTACAATCCCACCCCCAGGTCTACTCCACTATGCAGCCTTCACTCTGTACTCCTGTCATGACAAAAATACCTAATCATATATCCCTTTTAAACAATTTTCTCCCTCATATGTTTCAATGCAGTATACATTATTGAACCCATCTTTCTTAATCTTCCCCCAACCCTGAGGTCAGTCCTGTTTTACAACAGTGCACCATGCAGTATTTTTCCTTTTGTGACTGAGATACTTCACTCAGAGTAATGTCCTCCAGGGTCACCCATTTTGAATAATATTGCACGAGTTCTTTCTTTTTCAATGGAGAATAATATTCCATTGTGTGAATACACCACAGCTTCTCTATCCATTTGTTTGTTGATGGGCACTTAGGTTGTTTCCAACTCTTTGCCATTGCGAACAAAGCCACGATAAACATGGGTGTGCATTCCACACCATTTTTCAGGCCCTTTCCACCATCTTAATTCTTTTCCTCATATGATTTTCCAAACTTCTCAAATAAAGGAAGTGTATATTTTTTTCCCTTCAGGGAAGAAGATAGAGCTATGAAGTAGTTGGCCACTTTATCTATAAAAAGGCAACTGTTAAATTGGTCCTTAGATTCCTCCCAGATACTGAAGTAGAATGAAGGGATCATACTAAGTATGTATATATGTATTTGTATATTTATTTATTTTTACTGATAACCAGAAATCTCATTATTTATGGAAGACTTCAGACATAGTTACTTAAGTTTATGATGATTGTAAATAGTCTAGTTAAGTCCATTATAATAATATAAGTTGCCTATTAACCATTATCATTAACGTATTACCCATTATCCATTAATTTGACTGATTAACTAGCTGTGAAATTGCTATTCTAGGGACTAAAGATTTGACATCAAATCAACCTGGCATGAAAAAGAAACATACAAACAAAAACAATATAATTTAAAAAATCTGATAAAGCACTTAAAGAGCACACTATCAGCAAGAAAGCCTGGTAACTACCTCTAACTCAGACATTAAGCAGGATGTCTGACATTCATCACAGAGGAAGACACCATGAAAACTTATCACCCTTGGACACTTTCCTCTTGGATTCTTTTCACCTTCCTTTCCTCGTTCTACTCTCTTTGACTACCATCTTAAAAAAATCTGGTTTAATTCATAGAAGCCAGAAAGCAGTTTTTACGACATCCATGCCACAGGTTTCTCTCAAATCAATGGTATCTGGATAAAGTGCATTTAAAAGATTCAATCCTTGTCTTTAATCAATTGACAGCAAAACACCATCTTTTTTCTGGTTACCACGGATCTCTGAAATCTTTCTGAATTCCTTGTTCTATAAGATTTTTGTTTTCGTCATTTAAAGTATTAAAGAATTAGTTTGTTAAAAACAAAACCAAATAAAACAAAAAACAATACTAAGATTAATTGATTAAAAAAAATTCAAACCAAAACATCCCAGTCTTAACAATAAAATCATGTGGAAGGGGAAAATGGTTGGCAGAAATTAAGAGT